GATTTTAGAAAGTCTCGTTAAAAATATTTTTTATGTGTGTTACCCCCACTACAACCACTTATTGATTTTATGAATACACGAAAATTTGATTATGTGCACTTTTTGAAATTTTTCAATTAAATGTAGAAGACATGGAAGAATATAGATCATCGATATTTTTTGTAAATCGAGGAGCGTTTCGACTCAAATATTAGCTCTGAATTGTAAAATACAAAACCCAATAAAACTAAGACATTATTTAATCAAAAAAAGCTTTTAATGTCTTTCATGAATTATATATATCAGGTCATCCCATAAGTTCTGTCCGAATTTTGAATAAAGAAAACAAGTGACTAAATGTTACATTTAATTACAGATTCAATCAACAATGTATTTTCCCTGATTATCTATGACTTCCTTCCATCTATTAACAAGCTTACTAATTCCATTACTGTAAAATTCTTTTGGCTTTGATTCGAAGAACTCACAAATGTCAGTTTAACCTCTTCCTGTGTTACAAAAGCTGTTTCTTCCAAATGATTCTGTAAGCTACGAAACAAATGGTAGTCTGAAGGAGCAAGATCGGGAGAATAAGGTTGATGCGGAATTTTCTCCCAACCATCTTTTGTGATGTGATTCTTGCTGTGTCCGGTCGCGCATTGTCCTGATGAAACATCACCCCTTTTCGATTCACTAGAGCAGGTCTTCTTCCCTCAAAGCTTGGTTCAAACGCTCTAATTGTTGACAGTATATTTGAGCATTAATTGTTGCATTAGGTATTAAGAATTCAAAGTGGATTATTCAATTGGGGATCCCACCAGATTTAAAGACGAACCTTTCGCCCATGAAGTTCCCTTCTCGGCTGTGGCTGGGGTCCTTCCCCTTTACCAAGCCACTGTCTACGACGCTTAACATTTCGATAAAAGATCCATTTTTCGTCGCCAGTCACAAGTCTATCCAAAAAAGCTCTCTCAGGAAAGGTTTTTTTTTTTAAAAACAAAACAAGCCAAAACCAGCGGCTCTTACTGCTATTAAGTATGAATTGCGTTCTCCGAGCTGCTAGCTTATTTCGATCTTGGCTGGAAGCAATCAGACGTCTAGCCACACTGAGGAGCTGCGAAACAGTCTGTCTATGGATGACTTTATATATATATATATATATATATATATATATATATATATATATATATATATAAAAATGGACATTGAATTGAACATATTTCATGCTTAAAGGCAATCACCAGGTCACATGCGTTGTGCTTTTTGTCGACTATTTTTATATACTGGTCAATGGTGCATTGTAGGTAGTTTATTCTATCGGTTATTTTGGTAGGAGTGGCTTGTTAGTTTTATTATTTTCTTTATTTATTTGGATTAATTTATTTTACTTGTTTTTGCTTATTTATTTTAATTTTATTTATTCTTTTCAGTCTTCGATTTTTAAGTAACGTTCTAAAAATTTGTTTTTGTGTCTGCGTTTTGATATGAGTTCTGATCATTTATTTTGTAGTTTGATATGGTCTGGGAAGGTAATTATAGTTATTTTTTGTAGGCTGATGTTCTTTTTCTTATTTTCCATGGTATTTTTGGTGTGATTTGCTTTTTGTTTTTAATTTCCCAGATATACTTGAAAAACATTGTGCTGTTCGCGTATTTACTATTTGTGAAAGATGTATTTGCGTGTATTTTCTCTGGTACCCTATGTGTATTTTTTCTTCGTTATCATATGATTTTAGTGTGGCTTGGTATATTACATGGTTTCGTAAGCAATCACCGTTTAAGGGACCTTCGTTCTTTATTCTGCAGTTACACATAGGTTTAATTTTTTTCTGGTGGTTTGTTGATAGTTTTCCAGTTGTGCTTTTTTATCATTTGTGTTATGTTCCAGGTGCAACTGTAACTGATTTTTACTGTGTTTTTGTTGAATATTTTGTGGAAAGTTCTTGACCCGAGGAAGGGTTTTATGAATATTTTTCCTACGTTTGTTTTTACGTTTTTGTTGTACGGTGGGTTGAACCATATGATGTTTCTCTTCCTGTTGGCTTTTTTATCTTCTGTGGTGTATGTGAGTGTTGCCGGGAATCCACTATCTTTTAGGGCTGTTTCATAGTCTTAGCGTAGTTGAATATGGTTTCATTGGAGGAATTGTCGGAAAGTTTGCGGTTAATTAATTTTGGTATCTGCTTGATTATAGATGGCGGGTGGTTGGAAGATGTCTGTATATACAGTGATTTATCATTGTTTTATATATATCTTTTCTTAGGTTGAAGGTGATATCTGGAAAATTTACTTCATTTAGGTGAGTTTTTATGTTTATGTCGAATCCCATATTTTCTTTTTTTTTCCTTTTATTTCATAATACCCAGTTTTTGTCTTGTTTATCGGGATGAGCGCTAATGTAGATCTTGCACTTAAAAATAGCGCAACTGAGTCATCCACATTTGGGACGATGGCAGAGATCAACCCAACCGGTGTGCAATGGAAGGGCCTCGCACTGAGAGAATTTGGCGTGAATTTTAGTAAATATAAATTCTTTTTTTTTTTTTTTTGAGGGGGGAATTATCAGAAATGATCCATGATTAAAGCTAGGTATGTTTAATATTTCGCTAAAAAAAGAGCATATCCTGAAGAAAAAAGGTCCCAATTTTGATTAAAATTTTTTTTTATCGTCTAAATGTTTATGTTATTATTAAGAGGAAAGACCAAAGTATTTCTTAAATATTTTTCAAATTTTTGAAAAAAATCCCTACTACAATTATTATTTTTTTTCTTTTTTAGATTCAATTTTAGGGACTTAAACTACTGACTCCTTGCCTACTCCTGAGGCGCAGTATTTATTAAGTATGGAATAGTCCATTATTATTATTATAACATCAGCCATTTTTGATAAATTTGTAAACAAAAGTGAAATTATCTATTTAAAAATCTTGTGAAATTCAATTATACTTTTTTCAAAAGTTATTTTAGGAAAATTAGAAAATTTAAAGTATACATAATGTAATTGGAGACAAGCAAAACTTAAGTTTTAGCAGAAAATTTTGGTTGTAAATAAGAGCAGTATGTCTAACCGTGGTGATTGGTTTTGGAGGTGTGAATTAACGTTTACGTCAATGTATCGACAACTAACGTCAGGGCAATTTATCGGACGGAAGGGAAGAAGTGACAGTATTTTTTAACTTTAAGTGAATCAGCTTATTTAACTATAAAATAATTCTTAAAAATTAAACACTTTCAGTAATCTAATATTTTATTGTTCTTTTTAGGCAGTTTTTAACGAAGATATGTCCAAAGTTTGCAATGTTTTCGTCCCTAAAATTGAATCTAAAAAAGAAAAAAAAATAAATATTGTAGAAAATAGAAAGGCTTCTCTTTCAAGTTTAAGATTTGTAAAAAGAGATCTTTTTAATAAGAGCATTTCCAGAAATATATATATTCAAACTTAATTTTAAAATATTTTACAACTTTATCACATTTTGTATTTAAAATTTTAAAAAAGTAAACAATTCTTGTAAAAATTCCTTTTTCATTGAAAAAGTATTTTGGCAGCAGACAATAATGTCCTTAATATATATTATTCATAAAAGCCATTAACATCTTTTTTGATTAAACAATGTCTTAGTTTTATTGGGTTTTGCATTTTACAATTCAAAGATAACGTTTGGTTCGAAACGCTCCTCGATTTACAAAATATATCGACGATTTATATTCTTCAAAGTCTTTTGCATTTAATTAAAACTTACAAAACTACACATATTCGAATTTTCGAGTTTTCATAAAATTAAGAAACAGATGTAAAAAAAAATTACCATTACTTTCTAAAACTCAAACATTTCCAAAATAATTTAAATTATTTTTAAATATGTTCTGAAAGTTTCATTAAAATACGACAATTATTTGTTTTTCGCAAGAATTTCCAATTTAATGTTTTTTAACTGAAAAAAGCGCTAAAAATCAAATGCTTTATATTACGCGACCGCAGACGTAAAAAAAAAAGAAAAAGATTTTCAACCAAAATTTCAAACGTGCTAGTAAGGAATAAAAAATTTAAAAAATAATTAAAAAATACTGTGGTCTTTCCTCTTATTAATACTATAAACTTTTTCACGAGAAAACGTTTTGGGCATTTTTTTTTATCATGCTATGTTGTTTATGTTTTTTTTTTCTTTCATTATTGAATATAACTAACTAAAGCACACGAGAAATAAAAGATGAACGAAATTAAACAGATCAGTTTATTTTTATTTCGAGCACCGACATCGCCTGCGCCTCTTATATTTTTGTAATATATTTGTTTTATAATTTTGTAAAAATTCATTTATTTAGTCATTTTCTATCAAAGTCACATAAGTTGATGAAAAAAAAAAAAAAAAAAAAAGAAACGAAAAAATTATTTCATATTCTAGTGTTTTTGAACAGATAATTACGAACATCTTTTATTCTTTCGGTAATTGCTGAAAGAATAAAAGATGTCCGTAAATAAAATTCGAAAGAATGCAAGAAGGGAAAAATACAAGAAAAATGGATATTTCTGGGAAAACGTTAAAGCGTTCTCGAAAAAGATGACGTCATTATAAAGCGCCACAACTCAAACAAAGTATAAATTGATTAAGGCTAAAGAAAACGTCCCAGTAAAAGATTTCTATTTAGACACAAGCATCTGCCTCAACATGTGTTGTTATTTCAAAGTATTACTATTAGCTTTTCTCACCACACTATTTCGTCCAATTGTGGGAACGGGACTCTCAACAAAACCGACTGACATCATCGGGGGAATAAGAAAATTACTTATTCATGAGAAAGAACACAAGAAAAACAGTACAAATTGTCCAGACAATGATATAATCGGTGAAATAATAAGCTTTCTCAATTGTGGACCATTTCCCCTTTCACCAAACAGCCACTTGCAATATTCTTTGGATTTTTCCACAAAGAATCTCAGATTATTTCAGACATGCGATCGATACTACCAAACGAACAAAAAAACTGAATCTTTACAAATTCAATGCAAATATAAAAACTGGATGTTTAACGAGATTGCCTGTGAAAAAGTTACCTGTCCACTTCTGACGCAGCCACTCGACGGTGACATTTCAACTAACGCTAATACTTACAACACAACCGTATACATCTGGTGTTCCCGCGGTTTTACTCTTAATGGTACAGATAAACTGTCATGTGAAGAAAATGGTCTTTGGAACTTGCCACCACCGACATGTCACGTGTCATACTGTCGCCCGATTTCGCCACCCCAACATGGTTCCGTGTCTAGTCAGGAAGTAATATCTGTTAATCAAACGATTGAATTTAGCTGCGAAAGTGAATATTCTTTAATAGGAGATGCCGTTCTACGATGTCAAGAAGACGGCCGGTGGAATACCGCGGCACCAGTTTGCAAGAAGATGTGTGCTTTGCCTAATATTACAAGTCAATCGGAAGGTGTACGCTTGCTTCCCGGATTTAAGGAACTTCCGGTCGGTTCTCTGCTCCAACAGGGACAACGCGTCATTTTCTCCTGCAAACCTGGCTACACAGTATCTTCATCCGGACTTTCCACCTGCATTGGGGGAACCTGGAGACCACCGATTACCTGCAGAAAAATGTGTGCCGCGGTAGAAATAACGAACGGGAAATACAATTTATCGAAAAATTACTCTACTATTGAATATTCTTGTCTGCCTGGATACCAGCTCATCGGTCGGCAAAAACTAACGTGTATGTCTAACGTAACGTGGGACAGTGAAGCCCCTATCTGCACCAAAATGTGTACGCTTTCTAAACGGAACGAAGTGTTGTCTTTCCGCCAAAAACCAACGTACGAAATTATCCCTTTTGGGACTCAGGTTAGTAATGGAATACAAGTGTATTCTATATGTCGATACCGTACATCGAAGACTAGTGTTGTAGAATGTATTAATGGCGAACTCAGTCCCACTCCATGTAAAGACCCAAATGTAATGCTCTCAAAAGGAATTTTACAAATTTCTGATGATGATGGTTGGACATGGAAAGGTATTTGCAAATCTACATCTGACGTTTGCAGTGTATTCGGTTATATCCAACACGTCAACTCGAGCATGAAATGTTTTTCATGCTCCAATATAGATTTGGATGCTTATCGTAAAACACAGCGAATTATTATCTTGAAGAATGAGTTTAATGTGAATTTTAAATTAGATTGCTTGATGTGCATGTAAGCTTTTCGTACATATAGAAAATATTACAATTTTGCTTATTTGCCAAAATCTACTTTAACATAATGTTTTTCTTTTATTCATCAAAGGAACTTTTTTCTTTTAGTTTGTAGTTTGATTTTTTTAACTTCATACATATTTACTTATGTTATTTGCAAATCGTGATATATATATATATATATATACATTTCACTTTTGTTTATCATCACTTGCCTTGATAAAGTGAAATCACGAAACGCGTCGGCAATTACTAAGTTCTATTTTCCTATTGTCTATTTTATTCAATTTGTCTTCTCTACAGATTTATTCTGAAATATTTAACCCACCCATATATACATATATATATATATATATATATATATATATATATATATATACACACACACACACACACACACACACACACACATATATATATATATATATATATATATATATATATATATATATATATATATACACACAGGTGCGGAAGAAATACCTCCCACATGTACTTCTCACGTAAAACTAGATGAAGAAACCATTGCCGCTTAACTAATGTTTTAACTTTATGTGGGATTAGGTACTTTCAAGAGGTCGCTAAAAGAAGAGTATAGCACGAATAAAAAGGCCTTAAACTTTATGAAAATTATTTTTTATTGTCTAAATGATTATGTTATTATTAAGAGGTAAGATCAAAGTATTTTGGGGGTATTTTTTTACATTTTATAATCGTTCCTAACATGTCAGAAATTTTCGTTAAAATTTTTTGGAGTCAGCATTTTAAACAAAATTGAAATTCTTCGTTTAAAAACCTTTCAAAAGTCAATTATACTTTTTTCAAAATTTATTTTAAGAAAATTATAAATTATAAAGTTTATTTAATATATTTTGAAACAAACGTTACTTACTTTCTGCACCGAAAAAATGTACTTTAAAATAAGAGAAAGCGGGTCTTAACAATGGTTACGATTGACATGTGACGAGTGATGATTTCCTCACGTTTTTCTATGTAGCTTCTATCAATTAAAATTTTGCAAAATATACTTTTTTGTCTATTTATCTTTTAAAACTGTTTCCTATTTGAAATATTTATCGAAAAGGCATTCGTTCATTGCTTAGAATGAGTAAAAGCAGTTGAAAACCTCAGATGAATAATCGATCGTTTTAAAAGATCATCATTCGATTACTGGAATTAAAATGTAACCACTCTTTTTGCATGTCTGAATTCACAAACCCATTATTTGAATATTGGTCTTTTAATTCGATCTTTAAATTAACGTTTCTTTTCTTTATATTTATCCCATAATTTCTAGAGACAGCACCCAAATAATATATAACAAAAAATTTTTTGCAAAATTATTATCATTTAATAAAAAAAGAAAACATGTAAAAGTCTTTGTTTTTTTTTGTTTTACATACAGTTCTTTTACACGTCTCTAAAATGTTGATTACAGCTTAAAAAATATCAAAATAGAAAAACTAAACATTAATTCTGTATTTATATTTAACTTGGATACTTTTAAATATTTGAATTAAAATTTTCTATTTATGAACTGTTATAAGATTTTTCTTTTTAACTTCTATAATCAATTATCTGTTTTGTAAAAAATACGTTTTTTCGTTTATTTAAAAAAAAAATGATTTCCTATTTGAAATATTCATCTAAAGGTCATCCGTGTACGATTTGGCTCACTGTTTAAAAATCCCACGCAATGGTTTTACTTGACATGTAGCAAGCATTATTTGTGTAGATTATTCAAACGTTTGCAGCTTTTCTTTTCTCTTTAAAATATACACTATTCTCTGGATGGAACAACTATAATCTCTCCCTTATATATATATATATAAACGATATATATATATATATATATATATATATATATATAAACGATATATATATATATATTTATATATATATATATATATATATATATATATATATATATATATTTTTTTTAATATAATAGATTTGTTTTGATCAACAAATTAAATGTCAGATCTACGCTAAATAGAACATTAAGCTCAAAGGGTGGAGGGGGAGGGCGTTATTATTTCATGACACGATAACCCGGAACTTCGACAGGTGATCATTGACAATTACGGAAAACATGTAATCAATAAATATATCAAGATTGTATTCAAATATGACATGTTCAAATTTTCAAAGGACGCTGATGAGACAGACAGGAGGATAATAAGACGTAAGCGTAATCTCAACAGAAAAAATAAAAAACAAATTTTAATTTCAGATTCTTAAAATAACCTGTAGATAAAAAAAAAAAAAAAGTGGAACATCTATATAATATGTAAATATTACTAACTGGACGGCAATACATATCAATGTATTTCAAAAATAAAGTGTTACCTCTTTTTTCGAAAGATAAGGGGTGGAGTGGGGCAGAAAACACAAGGTCAGAATTAAAAATCGACTTGTGGGTTTGTCTTGATAAACCAATTAAATGTCAGATCTACGCTAAATAGAAAATTAAGCTCAGAGGGTGGAGGGGAGGGAGTTATTATTTCATGACATGATAAACCGAAACTTAGACAAGACATCATTAACAATTACCAAAAATATGTAATCAACAAATGTACCGTGATTGTAGTCAAATATGACATGTTCAATTTTTCAAAGGTCGCTGATGGTAGGGGTAGGAGGTTAATCAGACGTAAACTTAATTTCAACAGAAAAATTAAAAAAAAATTAATTTCAGGTTATTATGTAACCTATTTGTTTATGAAAATGGCGACTTGAAAACGAGATAATAACTGCAATGACCAAAGATTATCTGCATTTTGTCCTACTATTTGTGTAGATTATACAAACGTTTACAGCTTTTCTTTTCTCTTTAAAATATACGCTGTTGTCCCGTTGGAACAACTATAATCTCTCTCTTATATATATATATATATATATATATATATATATATATATATATATATATATATATATATATATATTGGTAGTATAGCATATAATAGACGAGAAGAAAAAACTTGTTGAAATCGCTACACAACAATAGCTTTTGTATTTCGGTAAATTTTTGCCTCTTCAGGTCATGGTCAGTTATTAAGAAAATTTCAAAAACAAAATGTTACCTCTTTTTTTCGAAAGATAAGGGGTGGGGGTAGAAAACACAATGTCAGAATTAAAAATCGACTTGTGGGTTTGTCTTCATCAACCAATTAAATATCAGGTCTACGCTAAATAGAAAATTAAGCTCAGAGGGTGGAGAGGAGGTAGTTATTTTTTCATGCCATGATAATCCGGAACTTAGGTCATCATTGACAAGTACAGAAAACATGTAATCAAAAAATGTATCGTCATTGTAGTCAAATATGACATTTTCAATTTTTCAAAGGATGCTGAGGAGATGCGTAGGAGGATAATCAGATGTAAAGATAATTTCAACAGAAAAAAATTCCAAAACATTTTTTTTTAAATTTCAGATTCAGGAAGCTTCTTAAATTAACCTGGAGATAAAATAAAAAATGTGGAACATCTATATAAGATATAAATACTACTAACGTGAAGTCAATACATAGCAATACTTAATCTGAATAAAGATAATAAAATAACTATTCGTAAAGGGTGGACTGTTATTTACTTATAAATTATGGCCATATGAAATGGTACTACTTAATTAAAAAAATTTAACTATATTGTAAGGTAAAAAATAAACAGTATTGGCAATTTATGGTCTAGCATTGATTTTTTGTTCTAATAGATATTTTTGTCAGCAAATCGGATAATTCAGTTTTCAGAAAATTTTTTCATGTGTTGAAATCTTTATTCATTAAGCGATCATTTTCCCGGTTTTATCTTTCTAGAAATGTAAAAAACAGGGACTAGAAATTTAATTTTAATTACTTAACCGTGGAATTCTGGTTAGTATTACAATTATTAAAAAAATCAAACATCCTCCTTAGTGCTTGATCTCGGAATAAAAAATGATTTTGCCGTGATATATTACTCAATCGATTTAAAAGAACTGTTCAGAATGAAAATTACTATTTAAAAAAATAAGCGCTACTGAAATTAGTACTTAGTTTGGGGTAGTTATCACTTGCATCGTCGATTATTATAATCGATAATTGACAATAAAACGCTGCTGAAACTAGTCCTTTTTTGACTTCAACATCGTCGGGGGTTCCTGCGTAGTAAGCACCACAGAGGTTATGTAGATACACAACGTATATTATTAGTCGATGACTGACAATGTAATATCAGTTTAAAAATAATAAAAAAATGCTGGCAGTGGGTATAAAACAGTACTGAAAAAAATGAAGAGGCCACAACGCCCCCCACCTCCCCCCCCCACAAAAAAAATGACGCCACCAGTCGGGGATTTAGGGAGGAAGTCACGCCGGTCATATACATATATATAACATTGGGCTCTCTGGATTTCATCCTTGGGATTATCCATACGGATTACCAAGATTTTCATATATATATATATATATATATATATGTTTGTGTGTGTGTGTGAGTGTGTGTGAAGAAATATAGTTTTAAGGTGTGCTATATTTATGGGATAAAGTGCTCAATATCAGAGATAGATCGTATTTAAATAGAAATATAAAAGTGAATATTGAAGTCAATACTCAGAAGCGACAGGCTGTTTCATGCTAGACGCAA